GAGCTTGCCGCTTCGCCTGCGTCGATCGGAAGGGTGCTCAGACTCAGATGACAATCCATCCATCCATCCCTCCACGGGGCGCAGAGTTTGCAGTTAGCAGCAGTTTCTGCTCGGCGTTGTGGACATCAACGCTGCTGTGCTCGGCGGCGCTCGGGCTTTAGACATCGCAATGGCGAAGGACCCCAACAGCCCGATGACCGTCGCTTTGCTGAAGGCCGGTGCCATGCCGGGCCCCAAGCCCCAGCTGATTGGGCTCACAGCTTTGAAGCCAGCGGAGCCGCCACCCCATGGCTTTCGTTGGTTCACTTGCGGAGCACCGAGCATGGCCCAAAACCGAGGCCAATTTTATCACGAAATCGAATTGTTGTCCGATTTCGAAACCCCTCAGCTGGGGTGGCTCAGCTCAGACTTCCAAAGTGGAGAAGAAGATGGTAATGGTGTCGGAGATGATCCCCACAGCTGGGCCTTTGATGGGCAAAGACTGGCCAGCACAATGGCGAGAAGGAACCTTTGCAGATCTCGCCATTGGAAAGTCGGCGACGTCCTGGGCTTTGCCATTGATTTGGACAAGGGAGAGATGCAGCTGCGCACCAAGCAGGAAGACTTGACCATGCCTTTCCAGGTCAGTGGCGCAATGTAGCTTGTCATTGTTTTTGTTCGCTCGAGGTTTTCGTTTTTTGCGGACATAACAACGCACACCGCCGTAAGCTTACCGATGAAAAGACACGCGACTTCGATAAGGCAAACACTTGAACACCCTATAAGACAAGCCAACAAAATCACGAAGTTGCAAGACTGTATCTGGGTATCTGGGCAAAGTTATTGAGTTTGATGCCCCGGCAGTTTATTTCATGCGTCGACAGCCACAAGGTACCCTGCAGTCAGCATCACGGGGTTGTTTCGAATGCATTTGGCCAAAGACAGTTGGAAACTGCGCCCACCTCCATGGTACAGAGACTGGGGCCGTGGAGATTTTACATGGAGTGATTGATAGACGGTGGCGCCGGCAAAGAGTTTGTTTTACAAATGAAATGTTCGCCTTGTTTCACATGCGTTCACCGTAACCTCCATACGAAGGATGACTCCGTGAGTCAGTTGCCGCCAAGTTCCTTCAACAACCAGCGCAGTGAATTCCAGAAGTGATGCATCCTGACCCGCAGGCTCGCCTCTTCCAATCTCAGCGCCCTGCAATCCCTACTTGTACATCAAGTGCGGCAGTTCCTCAAAATTGCACCTTTGTAGCAAGGCCCGGCAGTGATGGTGGTGATGACGATGATGTTGGTGTTGGTGGTTACGAAGAAGAAGATGATGGTGATGGTGATGACGATGACGACGACGATGATGCTGATGCCCGTAACAACAAGAACAGTAGTACGAATGCGGTGGTATTGCCGGTGATGGTGCATCGTGTTGATTCTGCGCATTGATGATGGTCTTGAGCGTCCTGGTGTTGGTGGTGCTACTTGATGCTACTTGTAGCACTGATGCTGGTGCACGAGGTTGTTCTATTGTTTACTTTGTGACCACGGTTGAAGACTTAGCAGTTTACTGTACTTGCGGTCAAAGTCGCAATATGGTGATCCCTGCTTCTTTATAACTGCAGGCTTGCGATGGTAGCTATGCCGTCAATGTAGTATTACCGTTTGGGTGTCTCCCTGCGGTTAGTAACGGTTAGTACTGCTTCACTTAGCAGGCATCTCTCTGCTGCGACTTGGTGTGGTGACATCGCAGCGGGTAGCCACTCGATTTCTCGAGGTGGCAGCAGGCTCGAACACAGTTTGGAAACAAAAAACAGTTGCAGGATTTGCTCCAGGTGCTGGGGATGAGTGGGCCCGACTGGGACGGGCAGACCAATCAGATAATAGCACGAATGTGTTGGCATATTTAGTCTGAAGGTCTTTCGGGCTCTTGAGGTGTAGGTGGTATTAGCCACAACTGAAAACAGACACAGTGTTTTTGCCTTGCTACCTCGTCTTACCCAACAGGCCACGGCTTCGCCTGTTTCGCGCAAGCGGCCTGTGCTGAACCGCAAGCCGCTGCAGATGCACTCGCTGCAGCTGGTGAGGAGCTCCTTCTTTCTATGGCCCAGCCTCTCGGCATGCCTTTTAGGGTAGGGCTTATGTAGATTTGTAGAGAAGCAAAACCTCTGAGGGCTGCTACTTCGACCAGTAGTTAATGTTCCGAGGCAAGGCAAGCCAGTTGTCAGGAGCATATATACAAACACTTGTAAAAGTGGGTTCCCACATGTTCGGCGAAAACTCAAGGCTGCTCCAAAGCGCGGCAGATGTGCCACACAAGGTGACGCCAGAACTGCAAGTTGTTGAGTTCCTGGTGCAGTGATGTTTGGGGCAGGGTCTGTGCAGAAGTTCCCACTGCAGTTCTTTGCATGTACTAGTCGTCGGAGTAGGAGTAGGAGTAGCAGTAGCAGTAAAAGTGGCAGCAGCAGGAGCAGTAGCAAGCAGTAGAGAAGCCGCGCACACCAAACCATGCGCGCACTGCATAACCTTCGTCTGAACCCTGGAACTACCCGCAGCCCTAAACCTGACATCCTAACCTTAAGCCCTAAACCCTCAACCCTAAACCCTACGCTCTAAACCCTAAACCCTAAGCCCCAACCCGAAACCCTAAACCCTAACCCTTGTAGCTTGTAGCAGGCTCCATGGCCGACCGGGTTAAGAGGACCGTCTTCCGCCATTGCCCGGTGGGGCTTCGACCCCAGGAATCATGGCTGAAGATTTCAAGTAGTATAGGGGCCTTAAGCCTGAATAATTAGAATAGGGTTTTGGGGCCATTATACTCTAATCATAATCAGGAACTCCCAAAAAAGTGTTAGTAATTATTTAGGCCCCTACATTACAAGTTTCCGGAACTTCCGGAATCGGTGTGTGCGTCTGTATATGCCTTTAATGACATGAGGCGTGTGATGAAAGCTGCGAGTACGAACCCCACCAGAACCCATCGCTCCGGGAAGCTTTCGATGGGATAGACTGTGTTTTCCTGAGCGAAAGCTACCTTTACAACAAGGGAACGCGGTCACGCATACGGGGAAATTCAGCGATGGGGGCCTGGAGGCATCCTCGTTTGGGTTCGGAGCTGGGGCCTTCTGAGTATCTTTGCCCAGAACACAACATTACTAAATATCTTGTAGTCCTCGCCGCTTGGAGAAGATCCCTGTGAATTGGCTCGTCTTGTTCTTGAATGTTCTGTTCAAGTTCTGTTCGGCATCACTGGTTCGAGGTCTTTTGCTGTTTCGACCGGTCCGCTCGTTGCAGCGTTGTCAAAGTCGTTCCCGTCATCAGTCTCCTGAACCCAAAAACCCAGTAATCTTAGACTTTTCCATCGGAAACTGCGACCAAGGCACTTGGATTTTGCGAAGTCTGCCCCTTGGCAGCACGGAACGACCGCTTGATGGGTCCGGAGTCGTATCGTCATGCTGCTGTCCAATGACTTCTTCGTGACATTTTGGATGACGATGATGATGATGATGATGGATTGATGAGATGATGTGGCGCTTTCGGCGGCGATGACATGGCAGGACGGTCAATGACGAAAACGATCATGGCGTAATAAGAACACACCTCAAAACTCCCTTGCCTAAGCTCTTACTCTTCTGCCTGCAGTGAACCCTGCACTCGTAAGCCCTAACTCTACTTGCTGTCTACACACTTAAACCATCTTAAACCCATGTATGTACTGAAGCCCTAAGCCAGGCAAAAGCTCGCAGCTGCAGCTCAGAGGATGTTACCTCTCAGTACGGTGGTCAAAGTGTATGGCTCCTAAATAGTTCGTGATGTCCATATGTCGGTGATGAGGTGCGAGATGCACTGGAAACGGACAGCTTCCAGGCAGTCGGGCATAGTCGGGCCATATACAGCTGGTTTGCTCCAGGATTCAGGTCCATATAGCTTTTCAGGGCACCTCACTCATCTTGAAAGTGCCGTAATTTGTCGTAGGGTTTAGGGTTTAGGGTTTAGGCGAGTACGTAAATGTTGGTTTCAGAAGGCAGGTGGCCTTCTTCTAGACCCGGAAATCCGGAAATTGAGGACGCTGAATATATGGGCCCGTGAGCCCTAATCGCCACACCCACCCCCTCCCCCCCAAGATAGGAAAAACCCTAAACCCTAAACCCCAATGCCAGGCACCCGTCGCAGCTACTTCGGCCCCTTTGCTGCAGCCTGGTGCTACGAATGCTTTCCCCGGTAGAGGGTTGTTTAGGGTTTAGGTACTATTTTGGGATTATAGTATAATGGGCCGCAAAACCCTATTCTACTTATTAGGGCCCCCATTTTCGATCAGCATAGTTTAGGGTTTCATCAGGGTTTAGGGGACGAGCCGTGGAAGGCTGCAAAGATGAGTTGACACACCCGGCTTCCAGCTGCAGTACCGGATTTCAGTGGCGTCGGAATTTTCAGAACTTCTTGGACGGGTTCCTTTCAGGGAATGTTAGTTCTCATGATATCTTGATATCAGGTCTTGAAGTAGTACAGGGATACTACAGGGGTTGCTAGGTTTCTCTGAGGCTTTGTTGAGCCAACAGTTGGAGTGTTCCATGGTGCTCCTGAAGGCGGAGAGTCTGGAGACCTAAATCAGCCCTTCCGGGGCTTTCGGGGCCTACCTCAACCCCAAAGAACATACCGTTTTAAGGACTTATATAAAGAAACGATAATAAGTAACCTTACAAAGGTAGGTTATTTGGGGTCCAGGTAAGCCTTATAAACCCTATGTTTCCAGGCCCTGCATGACTTGACACTGCGTGTCGCCGCAGCGGGCTGTGCTCTTCAGGCAGAGTTGCTTGGCATCGAGTGGTGCACGGGCCCAGAGAAATGACATGATCCCTACGGTTTCCGAAATTTAGCGTTGAGCCTCCATGAGTATGGATGACAGAAACACACCGGTTAGCTTTCTAAAGAGGAGCCGTGCCCGCAAGGTCAACATCCAGCGTTTATGCGAAAGTGTCTGAGGCTGTTGGCTTTTACGACCGTCACCGATCTACTGGGGATGCCTCTTGTGCAGAGGCAGGAACTCTTTCCAACGATTGGGATACCGTACAGGTCTGTACAACCCCGGCCCTAACGCAGCTGAAGATGCTGCAGTGCCGCCGATCGCATGTGTGAGGCACACCCATGGCAACAACAACAACAAGATCAGCGCAATGCCCTATTCCAACTCAGCACTGAACCTGGCGAGCATAAGAACTACGATGCTGCTGATCATGCTGACCATGGTCAAGACCGTGCCTGATCAACATCATAAGCATGTTGTTTATGACGGTTCTGAAAACGACATGGCCGGGGAAGGCTGCCACAGCACACGCTGCCTCGCTTCGAGTTTCATCCAGAGGGCTGCTGCCGTCGTGCCTCGCCCGTAACAGTTTGGGCGGTAGCCATGGGAGAAAATTCTGATGGGGTTAGGCTTCAACGGTTCAAGGGGCTGAAGGAGCTGCGCATGCTTTCTCCTGAATTTTGAACCTACGAAACATCACAAGGACTGATTGGTTGCATGGTGTCGGTATGCGTGGTGATGGCTAGCTGTACGTGTTGCATGTGGCTCAACACCATTCAAGTTGCAAGCATGTACTATCAATGTAGATCTTTCCAGAGACACCCGGTATACCTAAGCCAACAGACAAGCAGTCA